AAAGATCAAAGTTATGTTATTCAGATGCAGATGTGCCTCAACTGCCAAGTCTTTGGCTGGAGTTTGGATGGGTAAATGAAAGGCAGAGGTACCCAGTTTTTTGTAACTAGTCCTATAGAACTCTTCCTTTGCTGCACTCAATTCATACTATTTCAACATTATTTGGTCAAATCAAGTTATATTTTCATCTGAAAATATTGCTCCTCTGTAAGTATGCTACATGGTGAAAGATCATTGCAAATGTATGGAAACAGGGGAGTTGAATCTGTAGGCCTATTTGAATCTTTTTCATGGATAATGCTCTATCATAAATGACTGTTGGGAAGAAGCGTATAAGTATGATTGCAGATGGTAGATACAATAGCAGGAAAATACATTAATTTTGAATAACTGCTGAAGGGAGCCTCTCCAGTGTGAGCCAAAATGAGTTTATGTGTGGAGAGAATAACTGAAAGAAAAATCCCCTCAATTTGGGGTGATACACCTAATCATTTCCTATTTCAAGAGATAGATGTGGGGATTTAATCCACTCCCAGGTCTGTAAGGTTAAAGTGAAGCTGGAGCCATGAGGTGACTAGCTTAGCTTAGCATAAAGAGTGGAGGCAATTGGAAACAAACCTTTCCCAGTCATATAAAACTGGTGTGTAGAAATGGCCGTTTTCAGGTTTCTGGGGGATTTCGAGGCAAGCTTTTTCTTGGCAGGGCCTTAAAGGATTTCTACCCAAAGGGATTCAATTTCCATCCGAGGAGAGGGCAGAGAGAGCATGTTACCTTTCCACACAAATGTGCTGACGAAGAAAGCGTCTACCAAATGGTTAAAGCATCCCCTTGATTTCCCTTCTGCTTTGCCTGTAGACCGTTGACTAATCAATTATAATACTAGCAAACCCCAGTACAGGGATGGGACCAGAAGATGTCATGACACTATATTTTCTACTTCTGCCCTGTAACAATTCCATAATTAGCATGCTGTGAGCAAACAAGCCTTCTCTTGTTTCAGTGCCTGTTGTGTAGTTATTTTGGGAAAGCTTGAGCAAAAGGCTTACAAAGGCTTAAGTGTAGGATATCAAATATAATGGTCTGGTATTCAGAGAGTGCTTGATCACCAAGTCAAACAAAATGCCAGTATAGACTATTGTTACTGAAGCAGATCGTGGAGACCCTGGTGTCTGTGTCAGCTTTCTTTTGTTGCATTCTACTGACTTGCTGTATCTCCAGCTTCTGCATTAGCTTGTTTGTGTTAGTAATGAGAGCCCATTTGTCAATCTGTGGCAAGCTGTCCAACAACAAATCGAGTCAACAAACTGAGTAAAGTTGGTCCTTTTGGGGCTTGGGGCTGACCAGTGGTCCCTAATTGGTTGCCAATGTTTGAGTATGGCCAGCAGCCAGGTGACTGGTCAAGAGGTCCAGCTGCTCTGTTGACTGGTCCCGCCTTTGCCTTCAGCCGTCAGCCTCAGGCTCGATCACTTGTTTGTTTGTTTTCCTGCCTTTGTTTGGACTGGAGATTTCCTGTGTAAACTCAAAGAAACAAGATCCCTTTACAAAAATAATCCCCTCCCCCTTTGTTTCAATACACCTCAATGTGAGCCGATTTTCTCTTTTTGGGGGAGTAATGTACCGGCACAAGCAATTAGCACGTATCTCAGGGACAATTGTGTATGGGATATGTTCCTGGGGCAGACATCCTCTCCACTTGTATCTCTTTATCTCTCATATATTCCAAAATGCAAATACCCCAGTAGGTTAAAGGAAATCATAACTTCCACAGTAAAAAATAAAATTAACCATCTCAGCAAAATTAGTGAACACACACACACTGCAGCTTAATTTCCCCCCATGCTGGGCCAAAATAACCAAGCAGTGCACATAAAAAGTAGAGCAAACATGAAAGACTGGGCTACCACTTGATTAAGACCACACTAGCAAATATCCTTACCCAACATTGCAACCCAGGATGAAACTAGATCACTGTTTTGAGGTTTGAAGCGATAAATACAGACTCGTATCTCTGAGACTAATTGCTGTAACTTTAAGCCAAACATCAAACACTCCTAGCAGTACCACTTTTGTTCCTGAATGTATGCCACTATTTACCACTCAACCGGATGCATTTGCACTTTTCTGAGCATAAAATATAGATGCAAATGGGATTCACTAAAGCTGAATGTAGAATTCCCACAAGCTTGTAAAACTGATTCTTCAAGTCAGTGGCCTGACTTTGAAAAATGCTCCATTTCTGTTTCTGCCAAGCTTCAAACACGTAGGTTCAGGAAAGGAAGTGTCTTTTAATAATTAATAGAAGGGAGCTTCAATTGAAGGTCAGATGCTCTGCAGACAGAGACTACTGATGGAGTGCAAAAAGAGTAAATTCAGTGTACCTTCACACAGTGCTACATAAAACACTGTAAGCCTTTTAAATAAGAAAATGTCATATGTGGTCATTTGAGCTGATTTCTTGTTATGCCTTGAAAACACATATGAAGTGTCACATGTCACATTGAAGAGGATTGCTGGAAAACATGCAAAGCATCTTTATGGTCCAGAGTCATGTAAGAGATGCGGCTTGGAGTTTTTTCCGACAACACCATAAATCTCATTAGATAAGCTGGAGATAAGCTCTGAAAAAGACAAGATAAGTGATCGAGAGCGGTTTTAACATTCAGGTCTAGCCAGTCAAACATTTTTGGACCAAGGCAAAAGAGCTTCTCAGAATAATCTGTGTCTAAAATGCTATCTACCTGCTGGATTATTTGTTCTAGAGTCATATACTCAATTCATTTTGTTTTATCTGTCATCCTTTTAGATAGTAAATGTAACTTGTGCTTCCCATCTCCAAGGAGGGTTGGATTTTTGGCCTGTAGTATTGAAATATCAAGCAGGAAAACACAGTGCAGAATTCACAAGCAAAGACCATATAATTTGGTTAATCGAACTCATTTAACTTAGTCCTTTGTGACTGATTACCTGTCCGATATGAAGGTGAAATGATGACTTTGGCACTCATCTGACACCCCATTTAGTTTGGCTTGAATTCTGTGATATCTCTTCATATCTGCAGCTCGAATAGAGAAGATGCACAGCGAGTGGTTGCAGTAAAGTGTGATACCAAAACGAAGCTATTGTCCATCTGGTCCACATAAGATCTGGCACTGCAATGTGTTCCATAGCTTCCTGCCAAATGTGTGCAAAGAATGATTGACAGGTTTGAGCTGACTAAATGTGTTCTTGCTTAAGATGAATTCACACAGTCGGCTCTATGTGACGGTCACCGGGTCGTAACCCAGGTCAGCAAAAGATGTAGCGTCTGCTCAAGGAAGAGAGAGCCATAAAGGTCAAAGTGCATGCAATCAAATGAACGCATTTGTCACATTTATGTTTCATGTGCCAGTTGTTGTGATTTGATGGCAGCAGAATTCCAGATCCCGACTTAGATTACGTCAAATGAGCCTGATTTGGTTGAGTTGTTTAAGGACACGGTGTCACTCTTGATGCAATAGAAAGGCCTTAACTGGGTCACAGTAGGTCAGGGAGCTCTTTAAAGGTTCACCATTGAAAAATCTTATCTTAGTTGTATTTTGGCTGTCAGCACATGAGGCCATGTGTGTGACTGATGCAGGACCCACAGGCATTGTGTAAAGCATTTAGGACTACAATGATGCCATAAATTAACAGCATGGGTTGATTCTGCAAGCAAAATGAAATCTACAGAAAACAAGCTGTGACATGTTTTGAACACAGCACGAACCTGAATCTTTACCATTGTATTATGCTCCTCTTGATTTATGGGTTGTGGCCACCTTTTAAAATCTTTGATGCTACTAGAACACACTGACTCAATAGACAGCTTGGCAATGGCCTCTTTCAGCCTCTGCATATAGACTTTCATGGCCACTGTAAATAGAGGTAATGTTACACAGTCTTTGTGGGAGAACATAAAACACATTGTGATATTTTTTAAAAGATTGTAAGAGGGACAAATAGGTTTGCAAAAAAGATCTTATTACCACATAAGTGACAAATTGCATGTGGAGATGGAGGGGGAAAGACACATATCTTTGCATGTCATCTCTTATTTAAAGAGGAACTTTTAATTTGTGGTGATTTTGACGACCCCAGAGGACAAAGTGTTACCTCTTATCTCTGTGCTGATTGTGTCCTGTATGTGTGATTCATGTTTTTGACAAAAAAAAATCTCATCCTGGGTTGCTGTTTAAGTTCAGGCGCACTGTGAATGGAGGCTGCTCTCATCACGCTGGTCATAGGTTTAACTCAAGATCCTGTCCCTAGTGTCATCCCCCACTCTCTCTCTCTCTCCCCACACATCCTATCTATCTACATCTGTCCATGTCCAAATAAAGGCAGAAGCCCAAAAAAATGATCTATAAAAAAAACCCTCTCTTTTAACAGCCAAACATATCACTCACTGTGAATCTTTGCCAGGGAAAATGTAAATAAAGCCTGTTCAGGTTTTAACTTGCTTCTTCTGACAGCTACCATCCTGCCACCGTTTCAGGCATTAGAAATCATTATAAAGAAATAATCAATAATCAGTCAGTTGTGGTCTTGATAGTTTTTGATGGTCATATAGAGGCATCCATATAAATTTCAGTCTGTTTCATAACCATTTCAAACTCATCACAGGCGCTTTAATGGACGGACATGAGATATAGAATAATTAATATTTCATGTAGAAATGAAAAATTAAACTTATTGGTTCATGTGTAGCCCAGACAAAGGTAAAAGTTCATGTAAAGGTAAGGGCAGCCTATAGGTAAAGCCAACAGATGGAGATTAGGTCACTTAGTAGTTTCCAAGCACTTAAACTACACAAACATTTCTTCTTAAAACTACAGCTGCAGCACGAGTTAAACCCACAGGAGCATTTGTCCAACGTGCTCCACACTGCTCCGTCTCTCCAGGATAGGTGGGGGCTGCTTGTTTAAGCCAATAGGCAGGGAGCAGCGCTAATGTCATCTCACTGTGACCGCCGAGAGGGGCACCACAGCGCACCGTGCGCCGCCGCTGAGCTGAGATGTGGTGACAGTGTGTGAAGTCAGAGCAGTGCTCTTCTCCAATGCAGCAAAGGTCTGGAGTTTAAAGCTTATCGCTTTGCAGCAGCTCTGGGTTCAGCTTTGAGGCACAGTGTGGTTCTCTCTTTGGACTTTTTTCATCTTGTGCCAATGAGAAGCAGCGTGAATCGCTTCTCTCACTTCAGGAATATTGGATCTGGATATTCAGTTTACTGCGACTAAACGCTGTGTGGGTGAGTGGACGCATTATTTGTTCGTTAAACTTTAAAACATACTGTATATTTTTATGGCCACTTCTCCAGTCTTTTTGTCGACTTTTTTTTTGTGGTGACTAATTGTGCAAGTTTTACGCAGCTTTACCCATGAGAATTCTAGAAAGGTTGCAGTGTTTATAAAAAAAGCAAACACTTCTTCCTCACTGTTTGTGTTTTCATATGCGAAACAAACATCTAATCTCACTATACAACACAGCTTCAATTAGTTAAACCCTATTGAGGTCATTGGCTCCTTCTGTCAGATGAGAAAGTCATAAAACTAGCAATAATTCCTTCCTCCGGTCTTGCTGCTTTGCGCTTTTACGCAGCAACGTCTCCAAAGATTTCACTTTTCCCTGCGCGTGCAGCCACACTAACCTCGTTTCTCTCTGACGCTTGAAAAAACTTGGCTCGAGACGTGGGGTGGGTGGAGGTTTGGAGTCCCCGGGGCCTCCAGATGTATGGACTCAGCTGTCGCCTGTCACTTTGGTGACAACTGGTCTACTGCTCCATGGCCGCTGCCTGTCCGCTTCTGCAGGGCTCTATAGCTGTCAGGAGGGCTGTTGAGTGAGGCGGAAAGTGGTCACACACCCAGGCCACGTACAATATGAAAAGTCACACTCGCTTTCTGCAATTCTCTTCACGATGGATGAGGTGACTCAAGAAAATCTTACCAGCTGCAGGATATACGCTTTGAAGTGTTTTAATGTACACGACAGCCCTGAAATCTTTCCTTAAAGTTAATTAATGAATACATCTGGCAACATGTTTATATTAGAAATCAATGTGTTTTCAGAGGAGTTTTATTGTTATTTCATCTTCCAGATGGTGTGTTGCTCTATTCTGCCTTAAATGTAGTTTAAAATAATCTAAAACTAAAAGAAAAGTGATGTTTCCTTACATAGTGGATGGTTTTGATACTGAGAATGAGCTCCAAAGACTTCATAGGGTGGAGATTGTTGCAGCTTTTTAAACAAAAAGTACCCTGCAGGCTGCCTAACTGACCTCATCACTCCTTGTTAACAGAAATAAACATGCCATAAAGTGTTTTCTTTCTAGAACAATGACACACCCTCGACTTTTAAACATTTCCATCCTCGGCTGTGTTATAAACACTTCTAAACCTACAAAGCACAGCATAGCTGTAGTTGTTCAATCTCATCAAGGCTGTCTGAGATAATATTTTGTTCCTGTTGGAGCTCAGTAAGCATCCAAGTATGCCGGTAAGTCCCATGCATGCTCTCTTGTGGGGCTGACAGATTCACAGACCCTCTGAGCTCAGGCTGACTGACCTGAAATCTGTCATTCTGGACACAACTGACAAAGAGAGAGATAGAGCTCTCTGCTGGTCCCAGGACAGTTCTGCTTAAAATCCTGACAGCTAGGTGAGAGGACAGACCACGGTGGTGGTGTGTACTTTATTGGAACAAATATCGTTAGAGTTATTTGTGGGATAGGAGAACAGAACAAGTCAAATGTATTTGAATGAGTGGAGTTATTCTTGGAGCAGAACAAAGGAGGAGGACTAACTGCAGGTTCTGCAAAATGTCAGTGATGCCGCTTCAGAGTTTCCATCTTTGGCTCAAAATCAGAAAACCAGAAAGTATTTTTAAACACTTCCATGATACACTTTGAACAGCCAACATTTTTATTTCTCCTTGAGACACTTAAGGTCGAGTGCAGAAGTATAAGTACTTGAGTGTGAGCGTTGTGGGCAGAGATACAAGGACTAGCACAGAACAATGTGGGGGTGACACCTAGTGGCTGGAAATAAAGTTGATGTCTCCACTGTCCAGCAGTGCCACAGCAGTGTCAAAAAATCATTGAAGGCATTGTCGTCTGAAACCAATTCATTACTTTTTGTTTGTGTTTTTTTTTGCCAAAAACAGCTCCTTTAATATCGCCCTTTTATATCTGTCATTGTAGGTACTGACAATACAAAATTAGGTCATCAAAGACTCAGCATCTCATAAAAAACAACGTTCTGTGTTGGCTTCCGAGTTGTAATCAATCATATCAATGTGATCAAGTGTACATGTTATCCAAAGGGTCAATATATCTACTGGAATCTTTGTCTGATACCCGACAGCTGCAGTTATTTAATGTCTCGGTGATCTAGCAGGTAAGGCATGCATGAGTGGATGAGTGGCTCACTGATCTGCTGCAGGTGAGAGCTCTCTGTACATTTTAAGCTGTTTTTTTTTAGAGCTAAATGATTTACAAGTGGTGTTTGTGGAGCAGCTCCACGTGTCACATGGTGCTTGTTTCACGTCTCATTTCCAAAAACTTTCATTTGAATTCATTTAAAGTGAAGTTAATAGAATCAAATGGCTTCAAAAATGTTTGTTCTTAATTTGTGTTTGGAGGCATGCGAAGGACATAGAAAAAACAGCCTTATCGCACATTTTCTTGGACAAAGTAATGGAAAAAGTTGGGATCAGAGGGGCTTATCTGATGTTTACAAGTTCTTAATAAAAGTCAAATATGTTGGTGGTTTGATGAGGATTAGGGCTGGGCAACAAAAAGGCCTTTTTATGGTATGAGCCCATTATAATGCAGCTTGAACTAGAGAAGCTAGCTATCATTAGCACCCCTTGTGTGCCATTGCATCAGTGCACAGCAGGAGTGCTGGAGGAGGTGGAGACAAATCGCAGACATGAAGCCAGTCTCAGACATAAACAGTTGGGTACATGTGTGTGTGTGTTTGTCAAAGAGAAGCGAGACAAAGTGGTCACCTTTGGGTGTGTGTGACTGTCTTTAGGTGTCAAGAAGTCTATGCATGCGTGGCAGACACCCAGCTGTGTGTCAGTGAGCAGAATGTAGGTCCCAGTGCCCCATGTGTATACGTTCCCCTTTGTTGATTTAAAGGCCCGCTACCATTGAAATGTACACAGAGGCCTGTTTGTGCAGAGCTTGAATGAATCACCCTCACGTCCGTGTAAATCGCCTGCAAGCCAAACACTCTGGCAGCCTTTTATCCCCAGACGTGGTCCGGCTCACCGCAGCACGGCTAAAAGCGGAGCAGGACAGGCCCCGTGTGTTGTGAGGAGCTGTCAGAGGAGGCCAGTCTTTGACGGGGAAGGGGGGGGGGGAGATGTGGCGTGGAGTTGGGTTGCCGTGGACAAACTGCAGAGAGCTGAGCACGGTGACTGTAAACTGTTTGTGGTGGGTTGGCAGGAGGCTGCATGAAGTATGACTTGTTTGAACGCCGGTGGTCCCTAAATCTGCGGTCACTAGGTTTTGACTGAATGGACGGTGGCCTGGATGGTCAAATTCAGGGCACTGTTACAGTGTGGCTGTGTAGATTAGTATAACCATTGTGGTTGATGCTGTCTGTGGGGAAGATTATTAACATTGTACTTGCCGTGCGATTCACATATATGAGAGTCTGGGGCATCCGCCTTCAGCAGTGGCACACATTGGATCCACGTGCTAAGCATTATTCTAAAGTGATTAAAGGTAGCTGGTGATTTAGCGCTTCCGGGCACAACTCTTGTTTATTAGGAGCTGGGGGATGATGTTAAGAGGGAAACGGGTTTGGCTCTCACACTGGAGTTTAATGCCCCTGCAGATCTCTGGTAACCACACGGCGTAATTGTGGGGGTAACCATCAGACCACCATGCTGATGAAAGTCGTTCTCAACACACATGTTTCATTATCACCACCATGTATAGGCACGATGCAAAATAACCACGCTGCAGCGCTACAAAAGTGGTAATTATCGACATGTCTGCCTTTGATAAAGGGGAATAACAGATGTGTAGGGATGCCAAATGTCAGAAATCCTGGTGATGAAGTTTTTGGAAAAGTTTATCTGACCCAGCCTGACAAACACATGGCTGCCTGCAGGAGGGTCATGTTTTCTCCTCTGTCCTCCACGAATACAGGGACCCATCCAAGCCATCACAGGCATCAAGGGCCAGGAGCAAAAGAAAACATATTATCCTGAGATAGTCATTAAAAAGCCCAGCTCATTTCCCCGGCACACAACAGGGGATTCAGTTAAAGCTTTCCGGACCCATGGCTGGAAATAGGCAAAACACACACACACACACACACACACACACACACACACACACACACACACACACACACACACACACACACACACACACACACACACACACATCTCTCCCCTTCCTGGGGCTCGAGTCCCTCCTGCTCTGTTGGCATTGTCACAAGGGTGGAGTCAGCAAGCGTGGATGATATGGAAAAAGGTCAGCAGGGCTTAAAAATGGACTCTGCAGGGCAAAGGATTTTTGGACAAACAACAAAGGAATTTCCTGAAGTTTTTCTGAGAGGTTGCGGTTATAGACAGTGGGGACAGGTTCTGCTGCTCTCTGACTCACTGAAACTTTGATCTCCTCATATCTGACATTGATCAGTGTTAGAAAACAAATGTATGCATACATGTGTTTGGTCATATTCACAAATCATACGGATCTAAATAGATAGAAATAACTAATTTGAAATAACAATGAAAATATATATCGGTAAAAAAAAAAAATAAAGAAAATAACCTGGAACACAATGAAATACAATTCAGCACTTTATCCCCACTTTGCTCTCTTGAGAACAGATTTAAACTGCTGTTTCCTCTGGAGGAGATTTTCATGCGTCTTATATTGAAGGTAATTTCATGCAGGATCTTCCATCCAAGACTGGCAAATGAAAAGCACACCAACAGATATCTAATAAAGCACTTGACCCCCTTGCCAATTCATCTGAAGCAATGGAATAGTTTCACTTGAGTGAACACAAGTGTTGAAGATTGACATTATAATCATGAGATCACTGTTGTTATAAACATGATACTCTCTAACATGGTTAGGCTTGGATATTAAGATTAGGTTCTGAAGCAAAGTCGTTTTGAAATGTATACCTAGGCAATCGCCTAAAGCTCTAATGTTAATCAATCTACATTTTGGATACTTGAATGCTCCTTCTCTAAGTTTTAATAGCTATTTAAAATTTTCTA